GAGCCCAATGAAGAGCGCCGATGGACTGAACAAGCATCCTATTGGGCCATCTTTGCCTCATCTCGTTCCCTTTCCATTCACCGGAACCATCGAAAAGTCTAGTGGTTCTCAAAGTGTGATCCGGGGACCCCTAGGGGGTCCTCAAGACTCTTTAGGGGGCTCTATGCTGTCAAAGTATTTTATCATAATCTCAAATTATTTACCTCTTCCATTCAGATTCTCTCGTGAGTGTACAGTAGAATTTTCCAGATGCTACATGACATGGGATATTGCAACAGACTGGATGTAGAAACAGGTATGAGAATTCATGTCTTTTATTCAGCCATTCGTGAATGAGATCTCCAAAAATGGTTTTTTAAAGGTAAGAGCAACTTATTCTCTCATGACACTTCGTCCCTGCCTACTGCAGCATGCATCTCCAAACACAAGACCACATGCACAGAGTGCAACTCCTGCTGCGTAACGAAGAGCCCCAAAGCACCTAAGCTCACTGCTCTGTATTTGCGATCCAGGAGGTCGTAGCTGGGTGCCTGCCGCATCTCATAAAATATCCAGTAGTTTCCTCCTATCAGCCAATAGGCAGCCACAGAAACACAACCCAATTACAGTGCCTACTACAGGTGTCTGTTCAGGCCAGGAGCCAATCAAGAGCTACAAGTTATGCCCAGCTGGTGTGGCTCAGTGGATTGAGCATCATCCCACGCACCATAGAGGTCGCTGGTTCGATTCCCAGTTGGACACATGCCTGAGTTGGGGGCTCCATCCCCAGGAGGGGGGGCATGCAGGAGGCAGCCAATCTATGTTTCTCTATCATCTATGTTTCTATCTTCTCTCCCTCTCCCTTCCTCTCTAAGAAGCCAATAAAACTTGTTTTTGTTTTAAAGAGCTACAAGTGATATTTGGTTACTGTCAAGGACTGACTGTGTCTTCTCCCAATTCATAGATTGCAATGCTCACCCTCAATAGGATGGTGCTAGGAGGCGGGGCCTTTGAGGGGTGATCAGGTCATGAAGTGGAGGATCCCCCTGAATGGACTAGTGCCCTTGTAAGAAGAGGTCAGAGACTAGCGGGCTCTCCTCCCGCCACGTGAGGACACAGGAGAAGGCGCCTCTGTAACCGGAAGAGGCTCTCTCCAGAGCCCGACCACGCCGGCACCCTGACCTTGGTCCCAGCTTCCAGCGCTGTGGGAAGTAATGCCTGACACCCAGGCTCCGGAGCGGTGCCCTCGCGCAGAGCCGACCATGGCAGCTGTCCCGTCCCGGAAGTCTCATGTGATGGAGAACCAACCCCCTTCTTGTTTCCTTGCCTGACAGTGACCTGTTGCAGAGACAGGGCCCGATGGCTCCCTGGGTGCCAGTCTTCCGAGGCCCACTCTGGGCCATGGGATCCAGAGGAGCTGCCTGGGCAGCCCCGATGCCACCTGCGAGGACAGTGGCCGGGAGAGGATGGTGGCAGCTGCCCAGCCCTCCGCACGGTGGCTCTTTCCCAGGGCACACCAGCCCTCCCTGAGACACCACGGCTCATGGGCCGGGAGAGTGCGAGAGAGCTGATGGCCAGGGAACGGCAGAGGGACACACTGCAGTCCCGGACAGACAAGGACAACTGTCCTGGCTATTCTGAGTCCCCACCCACAATGCACTGCCATCGCCTCTTCCTGTCTGGGGACCTTCCCAGCATGCAGACCCTCTCACATCTATCTGATCCCAGAAAAGCCCAGGGAGCAGGGCCAGCGAGTGCAGCTGGCCCCATTGTATGGGTTCTGCAAACCCTGCGAGGGGAAGGGCTGAGGCCAAAGCCACCCGGCCAAGGGGCAGAGCCAGGCTGGAGACGCAGTCCCCGTGCTGAAGCCGAAAGTACGTGACCCCCACTGCTGTTTCTTTGTTGTTGTTGTTAATCCTCATCGGAGGATATTTTTCCATTGATTTTTAGACAGAGTGGAAGTGGGGGAGAGAGAGAGAAACATCAATGTGAGCAAGATACATCGATTGCTGGTCTCCCCACGTGCTCCCCAACCAGGGCCAGGGATTGTGCCTTTGACCGGAATCGAACCCGGGACCCTTCAGTCCTCGGATTGACACTCTATCCACTGAGCCAAACCAGCTACGGCTTGACAGCTGTTTGTAAAAGAGCCCTCCCATTGTACTTCCAGCATGTACCACAACGTGGAAGGGAGTCCGGTCTCTGCCCAGGGGCTCCGCATCAAACCAACCATAGGAAGATGAATTCTAGAACACGGAGCCAGAGGGACCCGAACTGAATACATAAAAGATTACCAGAGCCTGGCTGGTGTAGCTCAGTGGTTGAGCATCAGCCTATGAACCAGGAGGTCAGGGTTCAATTCCCGGTCAGGGCACAGGCCAGGGTTGTGGGCTCGATCCCCAGTGTGGGGTGTGCAGGAGGCCCAATCCGTGATTCTCTCTCATCATGGATGTTTCTGTGTCTCTCTCCCTCTCCCTTCCTCTCTGAAATCAATACAAAATTATTTTTTAAAAAGAAACTGAGGCCAAAGACACAAAGTGACTGCCAAGGTTACACAGCTCCAAAGCCGGAAGTGCAATCCAGAACTCAGCCGCATCCCTCTATCCTCAGCTCCGCTCTGCTCCGGCCGGGCCAGGCTGGGGCAGAAGCGAGGGTGGGACCCGAATGAAGCCAACCAGAGCCAAATGAAGAACATGGCAATAGAGAAAGCAGCAGCGCACAGGGCATGCGCCCTGGGGGAGGAATGCCCCCTCCATTACCAACTAAACCGGCACTGCAGCCCAGCCGCTGGTGGGTCCCCTCTTCCTATGTGAGTTCCAGCACAGCCCCCAGCTTCCAGAGGGCTCCGGGCCTCCAGGGAAGAAGGCCCCGGTCTCCTCCTAAGGCTGCACATGCCTGTCCTGGCCTCGGGTTGTTTTTGAACCAGAGAAAGGAATCTAAACACAGGTCTTGGGCCACTTACCAGTCCATACAAATCCCGCCACACTGAACAGTCACCTGCCCCCTTCCATCTGCCGCTGAGTCACCATGGCCCCTTCTCTCGGAGCTAAGTACTCAGCAAGGGAACCCAAAAGAACGCCTCTCCACCCCCACCCCCTCCCAAAGACCATTTTGTTCTTAAGAGATGTGTTCTTAAAGGAGCTGATCCCCTCTCTCTTACCCTCGCATGCTACCCTTACAGGCTGCATTGCACACTTGTGTCGAATTGTATTGTAGTTTATTTGATTGGAAACTGTTATTTTTAAATCTACTTAAAACACCTGGGGGGGGGATACATTTATGAGATATCCCCTTGAACAATGCAGAACGCTTTCGCTTGCACATCTAGCGCTCTAAATTGCTGACCAAGGACTTTCCGTTCTATTCCGAGCGAAGCAGCTTTTGCTTTAAAGAAATCGGGCTCCAGGCTGAGGACAAGCCCCGTCGGGAGAACTGGTAAGTGGGCCATATTGACAGCACAATGACAGCTGCAAACAGCTGTGGTATCTGGGCCTGGCCCGCCCCTGCTTTCCGATGCCTGCGCTGGCGACCATGCCAGTCTCTCCCCTCCTGAGCCAGAGGCCAGGCCGTCCTGTCCGGCCCCTGCCCACCTT